GGCTTCCGGTGGTGAGCTCCTCTTAATGCCGGCCGCTGAAGAACGACCTCCTATTTTACGATGATGATCGCCATGGATTGGTTCGCATTCGAAAACAGTCGCTCGAACGCCCCTGCGATTACCAGCGAATTAAGCGTGTCCAATAAAGACAACACTCGTTAACGCCAGCGTGATTGAACTGAGACCACCGTCAGACACAACGCCGCTTTATAAGCCCCGGCAGCAGCAGCAGCAGCTGATGGCCACGGCCACTGCTGTAATGCCGCTTAGTCCAACTCGGTCTTGACGCAGACGGCCACTTCTTGCCCGTCCCGAACTAAATCCTCAACAGCCTCTCGACTACCGTACACCCTTCGTGTCCACCCCGCACCAACGTCAACTACAGTAAGCCAGCAGGTGGCGACAACTGTTCCACGCCTCGCGCACTTGCCTCCGTAAATATCTGTCGTGCTGACGGGGCGGGGATTACGGACGGTTGCTGGAAACAGACAACTGTGCCGTTTCGACCGGCTCTGAGCCGCTGGCAGTTGCAGACGAAAGATCACTTTCACCTACTCGAACAAGAAGCAGCGTCAGAGCGCTTGGTCCAAAACATCTGCCACCAACATCGACCGGATTCAGCCTGACTTAAGCCCCCAACGGCTCGAAGAACACAGGATTCTGGGCGAAACCTTTACAGAAAACCAATGCAGCTAATAACTTGGTGCGTCCAGCGCCCAGCACGAAGAGGTGGGCAATAACACACGTCATACTGTTGGCCATCGTCATCGCACGCCTCGATGACGATCGGCTTTTTGATTGGCCACCGCTCATTTCAGTTCTTCACATTAGTTCTTCTCCTGCGTTTCCACCAGCAGCTGTATTGATCTCATTGATTATTGGCAGTGCCAGTCTTTTCCAGCTGGATTAAGGAAACTAAGCATGTTCAGACGAGGTAATTTTCCGAATGACCGGAGCACAATACGAAACTTTCAAAAAAAGAACTATGCTACCGTCACTGTCGAAAACACCGTCAAATAAATCAAGGCAAACTTCATAGCATTCTCAACATTCGCGCTAAGGACCATTAGCAAATGACATCTACTCCATGCTTAAGGCATAATAAGAGTTTGTTAACCGCCACATCGCCTGGTCAATAGATTGCAGGCAAACATAAAAGATATCATATTCAAACATATCGTTTGAAAAGTTTCAAGTGGCACTAGTTTGAAATTAAATTCTATAAAATAATTTACTGAAATAAACACGTATTCGATTTTGATTTATAGTTATAATAAATTAAATCAGATTGATGAGTATGCGACCACCGTCCAATCTGG